ACCCCTCCCTATTACCTTTACTCTGCTCTCTCTACAATTCATTTACCTGTAATGTTCATTGTTCCCTATAGCTCCATTGGAATGCACACCACTGGAGAACAAGGATTTTTGTTTGATTCGTTCACTGATGTCTTCCAAGCACGTAGAGTAGTGCCTGACACACAGTAGGTGCTTAATAAATATTTGGTGAATGAATGTTCTAATGCCTAATTGACAACAATCACCTCATCACTACCCTCTGTAATCGAACTGAATTCATTTATCAATTTTGCAGACAAAAAAATCCATCTTTGGGGGAGGATAATTTGCAATGGAAAGACATTTTTCAATGGATAAAAAGTTAAGTCGTGTATAAATTTTGTGTTTCTCGGGGTGAGATCCATGAAGTCCAGGAATTCTAAGAATACATGTTCAGGGGCAAGGTCATGAGTTTGACTAACACTGCTCCAGACTGACGGCTTTCTCACTCCTGGGCCAGGAATAAACATCTCATTGCCATCTGCCGCAGCCAGGCAGGGTTCCTCTTTGTCACCAGGCAGGGTGGGCTTCACTCTCCATGGAAAGAGGAGACTCTCCTCTTTGGGGGCAGTACTTCTCTTTACATCATTTCCTTCAGCTTGCCAACTTTTAAATTTGTTTCTTTTTTCCAGAAAATAAAATAAATACAGTTATCATAAAATAAGATCTAGGAAACTAGAATGACATACAAAGAAATAGAGGCCCAAAGGCTTGAAATTCCTGATTTCTAAAAGATAACGACTGGAGCTTGCTTCTGTGCCCATAAATGCAATATTTGGACACACCCCCATTAATATTTTGGTGCAGTTCTTTCTAGTCTTTTCTATGTATGTATTAAGTTGAAACATAGCACGTTGCTGGTAGTTTTGTGGGTTCAACCCAGTAATTCCTACAATTGAGGCCAGGCTATGCATATAATTTTACAGCATCCTCTTTTTATGTCATTATAACAGTACCACTTGCCCACGTATTTATGGGTTCTTGGGCCCATTGTGAGCTTGCACTAACAGCACAAATAATTGATAAGCATTAGCTGCTCAGCTGGGAGTCCTGCCTAGTAAATCACTGAAGCAGTACAATCTGTGCAGATTTCCTGAGTCTTGTGAATGACAACTCTTGGTGAGTCTTCCAGGAAACTCTTCCTGTAAATTTCCCCAGCCAATTGCTTGTGTGCAGTGCCTGGCACCAGACTTTCTGCCCAAATGGCAGCTTCTGAGAATGCTGCTTATAACTGTATTCAGTTGCTCATCTCTAGTTTCTCCTGACTTGTATGAATTTGGTCCATTATATATCATAGATAATAGTTTGTACCTTCTCTTCCTCTCCAAGGAAATGACCAGCTTTGGTTGTTGTTGCTGCTCTTAGTGGCTTCTGAATTTCTGAGCCAAGTATAGTCTACCAGCACTAAGAGAGAGAGATTAGATACATATATAAAAGCAGGGGGAGGTTTGTTCTTACAGCCCTGGCTTTCTCCCAGCAAGCATCACTGGAACTGTCCAGTCTACATCTTTTCATCATAGCAAGGTAGTGAGGAGTCCATGGATCTTATGGTTCCATCATGTGACCCTGCCTCCAAAATGATCACCCAAGAACAGTAATCAATGTGGGTCCTCTCCAGAGAGGCCTATCTGGGACAGAGTTGGTATAGCCCCATTCCCACTGGGCTTTAATTTGCTCTAGAATTGACTAGGTTCAACCATAGATGAAGATTATGTGTCCATCCAAAAGCCCCGTTTGCATAAGGTTTGGGAACTTATAAGATCAACTATCATTGCTGATAATAACATCATGTCACTCCAAGTATTAATAGCTTAAAAGGATAGACTTTAACATTTTGGCCCCAAGAATAAAAAAGCAACAGGAGACCAGAACATTTAAAGGTAATCTGTAGCCTTCATACACATCAAAGGAAGAGAAAATAAGGTCAAAAAGGACACAAAATGAAATGATATGTGGCTTCTGTTTTCATCAATACATGGTAAGCTACTACACAAACAAGTAGTATATCCTAAAACCTAACACCCTGGCTTTGAGACCAGACTGACTTGTGTTCAAATCCTAACCCTTTTCCCAGCTCTGAACAGCTTCTAGAATGTTCTCTGGAAAATAGCTGAAAATACCCACTCTGTAGGGTAATTATAAGGATTAAAGAGATAGAATGTGTAAAATATTGATAACACTTGAGTTTGGCAATAGTGGTTATTATTTTTACAAGACTTACACAAAATAAAACTTTTTAATTTGACCTTTTAAATATTTATTATCATGAGATTATAGTATTGTAACATTAGTAAACTTAGAAAAACCCAACCAATCCCACCACCACCCCCAAATCAGACTATTTACATTTTACTATATTGCCCTCTCAGCTTCCTGAAAGTGTCAACTTCATCTTGACACAGCTTGTGTTTTCAGCTTTTTTCACCTAATTTTGCACCATAATTTTTTCCCTGTTGCAACATGGTCTTTCTGGTGTACTGTACAGTACTTATTATTTCAACTAATATACCCTAACCTAATTAAATCATTCTTCTGTTGTTGAGTAGTTTATTTCCAATCTGGGGAGTATTCTTCATTTTGTTCCTGTTTCTGTTATAGTGATTCCAAATACATGATTTTAAAAATACTTGGGTCTTTTCCTTTAGGTGTATGAATAATTCTAACTAGATTTTTCAGGGTATTGTTTAAACTAATGACTTGACTGTGAGCAAAGAAAAGGTGGCTCCAATCTAGGGGACAGCAAATTTAGATAACTCAAAGAATTCACATGTCCATCAACCTGAGTTTCCTTATCTCAGCCGCTGGCAAGCTGGCATGAGACTAACGCCGAAGCAGTCACTGGAGAAATGATCTTTAACATATTCTAAACATGTCCACTATTTTTTAAATTTAAAATATTATTTCTTTAGATGTCATTATGTTACATATTTCTATTTTTTTAGATTTAGCCTCTTCATGCCTTTATCCACATGTTCTAGATTTCATTGTCTCTCCACATGCAGCCTAGATAGAAGCATAAGTCTTCATATTAGAGGCACAGAGAGGGTAAGGAGCTTGCTCGAGATCCCACAGCAACTGGGGAAGGACAGCACATAATGTCCACTGACTCTGACTTCCAAGTTTTCCCACTGTGCTTTGGAAAAAAAAAAAAAAAAAAAGAGCCTCCAGTTTGCCAGCGAAGGGACAGAAACCGGGAGCTGGGGAAGGCAGGGTGGAGGGCTGCAGGGGGGCGTCACCTGTCCCTCCAGGGAGCTCCTCCTTCCGGATTTCGGGCCCCGCCCGGCTCCGAGCATGCCCAGTGCGCGCCCCGCCCGCCAGCCCGTCCGAATGGTGCTGGGCTGGAGCCGCGGCTCCAGGTTTTGCCGGCGACCCGAGGCCAGGCCGGGCGGGGCGCGGGCGGTCCTGCCCAGGGCACTCCGGGCTCCATCAGAATTTCCCCCCGACGCGAC